GTCAAAAAATAGGTGACACATGACATCCTCTCATGACTTGGGTTTAGAAAAATTTTAAAATATTATATAAGATAAGGGATCCCATAACATGAAATGTCTCATCCAATTCCCAAAGACATCAAGTTTTAAGACTCTAACTCTGACGAAAGGGAAGAACTCTGGCTGACTACTGTCGCTAGAAAAAGAAAAGTTACGATCATAGCGTCTGCTTCCTTCATGTTTCCGACCTCCAACACAGCCCATTTATCTTTGCGAACTCGTTTCTTCGCTTGTTATTGTTTTGATTACCGAACTTGAAATTATTTTCCGAACACGAAATCAATATAACGAGAATCTTCGACCCTCTCTTCATATAAATTTATTGTCGATCTACTGGTTCAACATCTTATATAATATTTTAAGGTTTCTTCAAAAGTAAAGCTCTGAGAGGTTGCCACGTATCCCATACATTTTTAACATGTGTCAATGTCCATTAATTTCAATGAAAACCTATTTAATATTTTTTTGCTTTATAACCTTAAGAGAACCACAAAAACGTTTATAAAATTAAATTCTTATGAATAACTACATCAATGAAATCATTTTTAAAATAAAACTGAAAATAACTTTTCTAAGTTATTAGTTATAATCTAATTTTATGATCCTTTTATTTTGTAAATAGATTTTAATATGTAGTTATTTGGCCAAAATATAAATTCAATTGAATATTAGTGGATTATAAATATAATAAAAGCTAATTCAATAAGCTCAATAACATTCTCAATATTTTCAAGGAACAACGCAATCTCTTTCTCTACGTTTGGGTTCAGACATTTGAGTTGTATATACATTTCTTATGTCTTTTTCATGATTGAAATATATTGGAATCTAAAAAAACATGATATCTTCTTATAATCATCAAGTTCTTTAGTGTTTCATTTCTTTTTTACTTTATTTTGGATCATAAGTTAGTAAACAATAATAATCTCTCAAACAATAGTCAATTTAAAAAAGAAACAAATATTATGAATGTTATTTGTCTGCACCAATATCGAAATAGTTGAAAATCACTTTATATTTTCATGTCCATGCATTATAGAGAAAATGAATAATTAATTTTAATTTCAAGACAAATAATATTCTGTATTTACAAAAAAATGTCTGTTCAAAC